TCTGTGACCGGCAGCTGTGTGTCCCAGCTCAGTCACATTTCAGAGAAGTCCTGACACGCTCCTGAGTTTCCGATGTGAGATGTGAAGAGTGATTTGTGGGGTGCCCTCCGGAAAACAAACAGAACACGGTTTAACGATGAGTAGGAAGTGCCCGGGAGATGTGCTTAGACACCTTCCTGCGGACACCGTCCATGCAGGCCGTTGACTGTCACTGGGGGCACTGCTGGGGAGAGGGTGTAGAAGGTTGGAACCCTGGAGGGACTACCCCGGTCACTTGGGTCTGCCATTCACTGGCAAGCCAGGATTAGGCAATAGGGAAAAGTCCCTGGGCGGTTTCGTCAGCCGTGATCTGGAAAGGAGCCACGCCCTTCTCTCAGGACTTCCCTCTTCACACACAAAACGCGTTCCTTTTGAAAATGAGATGTTTGTGATATCCATAGAAGAAGTGTGCCTTCCCTCCGCACATCTAACTTTACATTCGTTTCTCGTCACATCCAGGCTGGCCCTTTCTTCTGAATGGCAACATGAATTTATATGGAGCTAGTGTATCCTGTCCTGGAATAAAGGCAGAGCTGACAGAGCGCTTTCATTGATCGAGGCCGGAGGAAGGTGTACACGGAGGACAGTGGTATCCTGAGCAAGAAGATAGAAACAAAGGGGGAGGCAGACCAGCAGTTAGCGTAATGGCTATGTCGCTGGATTCCCATGTAGTCGACTGAGGTTCGCGTCCCGGACCTGGTGGCTTACAACTCACGCCGGGCACGTGTGCGTGAGTGCCCAAGATCCCGAGAAGAGAATGGAAGAGAAGGGATTGCAACGTGGCCATCCTCCCTGGGGGGTGATTTCTCGCTTTCTGTCTGTCTCTCTCTGTCTGTCTGTTGAGTGCATGCGCCCATAGCAAAAACCTCTCAACAACAAAAAAAAAAAAAAAAAAAAAGAAAGAAAGAAAAATAAGAAAGAAAAAGAAACAAAGGGGGAATTAGTGTGCTTCTAGAACAATGTGAAGAAACGACTTTTATAGCCATTTCTACTTGCAAAATACTTAGCAGATCAGCATTTAAGACAACAAACTCATGAAATAAATATTATGATTACTATCCCTATTTAAGACCAGAAAAGCTCAAACAGGATGGTTAAATAACTTGTTTAAGGTCACACATGGAAGCCTTTCTCTGTGAGTTCACTGTGTCCCCCTGAAACCCTTTCAGACGGGGCCTCTTTTCCTCTCCCAAAAAAAAAAAAAAGAAAGAAAGAAAAATAAGAAAGAAAAAGAAACAAAGGGGGAATTAGTGTGCTTCTAGAACAATGTGAAGAAACGACTTTTATAGCCATTTCTACTTGCAAAATACTTAGCAGATCAGCATTTAAGACAACAAACTCATGAAATAAATATTATGATTACTATCCCTATTTAAGACCAGAAAAGCTCAAACAGGATGGTTAAATAACTTGTTTAAGGTCACACATGGAAGCCTTTCTCTGTGAGTTCACTGTGTCCCCCTGAAACCCTTTCAGACGGGGCCTCTTTTCCTCTCCCCTACAGATCTTAAACCCCTGGGCCTGGAGTTGGGGTCGGTGTCTTCTCTTCTTTTGAGGTGGCTTCAAGATCATCATCTCTGGCTGGCCCTGTGTCCCTAAATGGTGAAAGGTGTCAGACCCCACATGGCCAACCTTACAGCTAGAGAAACACACCTGGCACTCAAATCTCAACAGGGTGGAGCGATGGAGGAGACGGGGATGTGGGTGACCACGCGCCACTGAGGGGTCTCTCTGGCAAGCGTCCGTGTCCCTCTTTGTTGAAACAACTGGAGACTCTCGGATACATTTGGAGTCACTTCTCCGAATTCCTTGAAGAGTTTCATTCTCTGTCATGCTTCTCAAACTCATGTAATGTCGTAACCCTCACTGTCCTGCCAACTCCCTGCCCGCCGTGCTCTGCCTGTCCTCACTGACCTTGTCCTCTTCCTCACCTGGGCCAGAGATCAGCCTGCGGCTCACCGAATCCGTCTCCTTTCCTTTCTGGCCAGACCGCATTCCCCTCCTGCGTAGTTAGGCGTGGCAGGAGGAGGACAGCTGGGCAGAGGAACAGGGAAGCCGCCCAGCCATCCTCGCTCGCTCTCTTGTTATCTGAAGGCCAGATGGAGAGGGTCCAGGGGTGGTTCTGAGGCCGTAAGGACAGTGCTGTCTGGTAGAAATGTAATATGAGCCACGTATATAAGTTTGAATTTTCTAGTTGTTACATTTAAAAATGCAAAAGAAAGGCAAAATTCATTTTAACAGTCCATTTTCTTTAACCTACTATATAAAAAATATCACTTCAACTTGTAATCAATATGAAAACTATTATTATTTAAAAAAAAATTTCCAGAGGGTGCTTGTGCTTGCTAGAGAGAGGCAGAAAGACAGAAAGAGAGAGAGAGAGAGAGAGAGAGAGAGAATCAACCCCCCAGTGAGGCACGGTCATGCTGTAATTCTACTTCATTTCTCCATCTTTTTGAGATTTGGGGCACGTACACCTACGTATCCAGTATGTTTAACCGGCTGCTGGGACCAGGGTTCGAATTGTAGTCAGCCATGTAGGCCACAGAGTCAGCCTAACATAAAATTTATTAATGGGGCCAGTCCATGGCATGGTGGTTAGGTATTGGATCCCACATGGTCGACTATGTAGTTCATTCAAATCCTGAACCTGGTGGCTTGAAACACATTCTGGGCATGTGTGCATACTTGTCTAAAATCCCAAAAGGAGGGAAAACTGGGGGAGAAGGGATTGGGGTGTGGCCATTCTCCATAAGAGAGTGAATTCTCACCCTGCACCCTCGTCTCTCTCTGGCAAACACACACGTTCTCTGGCAAGAATTAACAAAATATATATGAATGAAATCTTGTGATGTTTTTCATTCTAAGCCTGGTGTATAATTTGCACTTATTGTATCTATCAATTCGGATGCCAAATTTTCATCAAAATACTGGATTTGTATTTATTTATTTATTTATTAAAGTTTATTTAACTCTTTCTTCTATGAGCAAGAGAGAGGCGGGCACCGCCAACAGAGTTACAGACATATGTGTGTGCCCGGCATGTTCAGGAAACTCTCTGGACTTGAACTTAGAACCTTCTCATGTGGCTCTGCCTCACAGAACATTGCATTATGGCTGTGTCACTATCTGGTCCCCAATTTATTGATCTTTTTAAAATAATTATTTTATTTACTTTATTCATTCATTTGTTTATTTCAATTTGACCAGAGAGGGACAGAGAGAGAGAGCGAGAGAGAGAGAGAGAAAGCTGCCACGTCCAGGCCTTGAACCAGAGTCAGCTATGTGGGAATCCAGCACCTTTAACCACCATGCCACCTGCCAGCCCCTAATTTATTGATTTTTAAGACAGCCTCACCAAGAGGTGATCCCTCTGCCTCAGTCTTCCAGTTGTGACTCTTAAGTATTCACCACATGCTCCATGTCACCACCTGCTCCATGCCACCACCTGCTGCTCCATGTCACCACCTGCTCCATGCCCAGCTTGTTTTTAGAAAGGTCTATGCAAAGACAGATTGCCTTACTTGTAACAGCTATGAAAATAAAATTGTCCTTGGCTTTTACCATTTTATTTATTTATATATTTATTGCCAGAGGGCAGAGACACTCAACAGAGAGAGTGGGAGGAAAAGAGAAAGACCCTTAATGGAGCATGGCCCCCCAACAACCCTCCCTTCATTTCTCCATCCTGTTGGGATTTGGGGCACACACATACGCCCTAGAGTGTTCTTCCAGTCACTAGGGCTGGGACTTGAACCTTGGTTGGCCGTGCGTGATTGGGCTCTTTTGACCCTTAGGCTACTATGCTGGTCTGCCTCTTAATCTGAAATGACACCACAGAACCAAACTGTCTTGCCACCTTCGAATGATTAATATGATTGTGCTGTCAGTCCTTTTCGTCTCGTGTTTATTTATTTCTCCACGAGAGAGAAAGCACCTTCAATAGCGTCTTACACCATGGTCCTCTTCCCAGTCTTCCCAGCCAGCTGGGTGTGTGCAGGTCAGCCTGGGAACACCAAACCCAACAAATGGCAGTGTGCCACTGCCACCGCCCGTGTCACCACAGCGGGGCCTATTGTTCTCAGTCTTGCCTCCTTCCTTGGTCTTCTCGTTCCTCAGCTGCTGCTTCACAAAAGAGATACTAGATCCACACCCAGTGAGCACACAGGCTAGGAGAGGCCAGTCTGTCTGTAATGTCGTAAAGTAGTTCCCAACACACATTCATCTCAAACATTGAAATGAATTAGGCATAAATACAATTTTAAAATTTAGTTTCTTAGTTGCACAAGTCACCTTTAAGTGCTCAGTAACACGTGTGGTAGAAGCTAGGACAATTTTATTTTTTCCTCGGACCTTATGTGCTCACCAGAACACTGTCACAGGGACCATCCTAATGGCATCATCGCACCCAAACGCCCCACCTTTAGCACCATAATTGGATGAACTTGTCATCATTTCATCCTGTGACAATGAATTAACATATCAATTTGGGATGGAGCCAGCAGATGGTTGGACTCTCACATGGTCAACCACAGTTCGAGTCCTGGACGTGGTGGCTTGAAACTCACACCAGGCACGTGTGAATGCATGCCCAAGATCCCAGAAGGAGAACAGAGGAGAAGGGATTGAGGCATGGCCATTCCTCCTTAGGGGTGATTTCTCACTTTCCCTCTCATTGTCTCTGTCTCCCCCCACATCTCCAGAGTGCACAAGCCCTAAGGTAAAGATCTATAAAACTAAGCAAAAAAAAAAAAAAAACCAAAAAGCACGTAAGTGTGGAGAAGACATATACAAACTATAGCAGTGTCACTTAATGGACTTTTGCACCTGTATACACCTGTGTTACTGCCACCCAGACCAAGATACAGAGCCCCGTCCAGCACCCTGAAGTCTCCCTCGGTCCCTGAAGTCTCCCTCGGTCCCTTCCGAGTAAGTACCTGCTCAAGGCATCCGCCACTCTAACTGCCATTACTCGAGACTGATTATGCAAACAGAACTTCCTAGCGATGGCCTATGGCGGAATGTATTCCTTTGGGCCTGACGTCCATTTAGCATTACGCCTTTGAGATGTGCTCCTTGCACGTAGCAGTGGTTCATTCCTTTCTACCGTGGTATTCTGTTGTACAAGGGTACGCGTGCAAAACCATTGATTCGCTGCTTTGCCAACCGAGGCACAGTTAAGATGGCTGTGAGTTCTCTGACAGTCCTCCGTCCTCCCACTGAGAGTAGAGTCAGCGTCTTCTTGAATTGAACTGCTCGCTAGTGTAGAGGTTGATCCTGCGCCAATTCCAGGCCTACCTTTTTTGTTTCTTTTCTTCTTCCGTGGGTGAGAGACAGAGAAAGGGAGAGAGACACATAGGCACTGCTATCAGGACCCTTCTTCATACCCCAATCCACCCCAACTTTAGCCAGCCATGGGTCACGGACATGTGTGTACCCAGCGTGTTCAAGGAGAACTCCAGACACGAACCTGGAACCTTCCCATGTGAATCAGCCTGGCAGAGCATTGTGTGACTGCACTACCACTGCCCGGACCCTGCTGGCCTGGCTTTGAACAGACTGGGAGTTTTCTGCTTCCTTCCTCCTAGAGACGAGCCACTAGTGACATGAGAAGTCTCTCAGCACTGAAGGTGTCATGCTGGAAGGAAGCCCACATTAGCCACACGAAGAGGCTGAAGGTGGAAGAAATCTCCT